AAAAWATATATATATATATAWAATATAATCTGTGTTACCACAGCTCTTGACTTTGAAAATGATGGATTTCCAAACCCAAGCTGTGGAGGAAGGAAAAGCTGATGAAAAGTTGATTAAAAGCAGGAGACTGACCAGGAGTTTGGGCTTCTGCTCAGCAGGGAGCACGGTGAAGTTGATGATGGAGCGGAACATCACCAGCAGGATGGAGAGCACGAAGACAATGAGCTCCTGGCGGTTCTCCTGCAGGATCCCCCTGCTCACATAATACACACAGAACACTGGGGAGGAGAGGGAATGTCAGTGCCAGGTCAAACTGGGGCAAAACTTACAGCATGCTGGAGCCACAGGCCAAAGTGGAGGGATCAAAGTGTCCCTGAGGCTCCTCGGTCAGGAGCGTCTTTGTTCTTACCCAAAAGCTTCAATCAGATAATTAAAATACTCCCCACAGTGTTTAGCACACAAGAAATGAGATAATTAGTCTGATTTTTAGATTATTTGTGAAGCAACACTCTCAAAATGGCAGTGTTTTCTTACCACAGCCAAAGTGACAATGAATTTCTTTTTTCCAGAGTGCTGCTTCCTTGATTCCACACATCAAATTATCCAAATTTGGGATAGTGTGGTACAAATTTTCAAATGAAATAATAACTTCAGTGTCTCTAAACAAACCTTCAGTGAATGGACTTCCTTTTCCAMTGCCCTTTAACAGGGAGTGAGAAAAAGGAAAAAAGCAAATTACAAAGTGAATCATGTGATTTTCTGACATCCTTATGACCTCAGGAAGACCTGAGAGACTTAAGATAGTATTTCCTTGTTTTGCAAACTCAGCTGCTAAATCGAAAGAAATCAGTACAAATTTGAAAATAACCTCTTTTTTGGTCATTAAGCTTTTTGCAGAGGTGGCACATGCACATGAAATTTCCTGAAATCCTCAGTTTTATTATTTTCATGTTAATTTCTATTTAATACAAATGGATCCAAGAAGTTGCTACTGAAGCTCTAATCAGAAATACCCAAGGAAGGAAGTTTGGAGTGTGGACAMCTGAATTCTCAGCATATTATAGCAAAGACATTAAAATAGGAATGGGAGAATTTTGCTGGCATAGCTGAACATTCAGTATCTCTTACACAGGAAACTTCAGTTGCTTCTTGATCACTAAATTATTAATAATTATTATAATTAAATTATCATCACAATCTTCATTATTTTCATTATTATTTTCATTATTTACTACATCCAGACAGTGTTTCTTACCAACTCCAACCAGTTGAATGAAGGAAATGGTGAAATCCTCCTCAGTCTGGCGGACCAGTGTCTCTATGGTCAGGCCTATGACACTCAGCAGGGACAAAATAGTGACACAAAAGTAGATCTTCACAGGGAATGAGAGCTCTGAACATGGTTTTATCTGTAAAGGGAAAAAATATTTCAACACATCATGCAGAATAAACTCATTGTTGTTCCTAAAAAACACATGGAGGCGAGCAGGGTAAATGAGACAGTCCAGGGTTAACTTTGGGAAAAGGAAGAGAAACCCTACAATTGAATTGAAACTGCTGAGGAAGGGACAAGCCTAACTTTATTTTCTAATTAATCTCAGCCTAGATTATCCAGGTTTATACCTCCAGCCTGTCTTTGTGCCTCACAAGGCCACGGTGTTATAATCCATTGGAGACTGCCAGTGCCCATATACACACCTGTCACAGCACAGAAATAACATTTTCMCAGACTCTAAGTTTTAGAAAATTGTAAAGACAGGGTGAGTGTTCTCAGTAAAGAGAGATCCTTATTTCCTTTTATTAAAATACCTCCAGTGAAGCAACATCCTCACAGGAATTTAACATTTGGTTTGTTCAGCTGGAGGAGAGGAGTCTGAGGGGAATCTGAGGGGAGACTGAGGGGACACTGAGGGGACACTGAGGGGAAATTGAGGGGACACTGAGGGGACACTGAGGGGACACTGAGGGGAAATTGAGGGGAGACTGAGGGGACACTGAGGGGAAATTGAGGGGACACTGAGGGGAAATTGAGGGGACACTGAGGGGAAATTGAGGGGAGACTAAGGGGACAGTGAGGGGAAATTGAGGGGACACTGAGGGGAGACTGAGGGGAGACTAAGGGGACACTGAGAGGAAATTGAGGGGAAATTGAGGGGACACTGAGGGGAGACTGAGGGGAAATTGAGGGGAAATTGAGGGGACACTGAGGGGAAATTGAGGGGACATTGAGGGGACACTGAGGGGACACTGAGGGGAGACTGAGGGGAAATTGATGGGACACTGAGGGGACATTGAGGGGACACTGAGGGGAGACTGAGGAGAAATTGAGGGGAGACTGAGGGGACACTGAGGGTAAATTGAGGGGACACTGAGGGGACACCTCAAGGCCGCAGCACCTCCTGAGGGACAGCTCCGATCCCTGCTCCCTGTGACAGGGACAGGACCCATGGAAGGGCTGGAGATCTACCAGGGTGGATTAGGGCGGATTTTAGGGAAAGGTTTTTCCCCCAGAGGGTGCTGGGCACTGCCCAGGGCACAGGCACGGCCCTGAGAGCTCCAGGTGAGTTTGGACAGCGCTGCCAGGGATGCTCAGGGTGGGATTTGGGGGTGTCTGTGCAGGATCAGGAGCTAGACTGGGTAATTCCTTCCAGCTCAAGATATTCCACGATTTCGTGATTCTGTCAGAAGAACGCCCGGCTGTGACAAGCCTCGGCGAGTGAGCACCTGCACTCCCTAATCCACCTGACTCCGGACAAGGATTTCAGACCCGTTTTTCCATTCCCCCCGGGGCAGAGCGAGGCRGAGGACAGCGGTAACCTGCCCACGCCAGCACGGATGTACTCACGGGRCCGCAGGGCGTGGGGATGAGCTGCCGGTGCCGCGGGGTGAGGTTGGGCAGGTTCGGCCCCGCCGGGGCCGCGGCGCCGCTGCGGGAGAAACAACGGGACCGTCACGGGGCCGTACCACCCCCACAGCGGGGGGGAACAGCCCGCACCCCCCCCATCCCCGTCATAGGCGCCTCCAGGTGAGGCGCAGGTGGAGCGTGGGGAGCCCCCCCCGCGCCGCGCGTGGTGCGGCCCGTCCCGGCCCGCCCGTACCTGCCGTCCATGGCGGCGGCCGCGCGTCCCGCCCCGGCTGCGGGCCCTACATGGCTGCGGAGGGGTCCCGGCAGCTCTTCCGGGGGACCGGCGGGGACGTCACTTCCCCGGCAGCGGCGGGAAGCGTTCTGTGGGATCCTCCCGGGCGGCGGGGCCGCCGCGCTCCCGCCCCTCCGCCCCGGGGGTCCCCTCGGGCATCCCGCCCGCCTCCATGGAGGGGCGGCCCTCAGCGAAGCGCCCGGCGGGGCTCTGCGCGGTTCCACCCGGCTGTGCGTGCCCTGTAACCCCCTTTTTGCTTCATTTCCTCGTGGTTTTGGTAAAATGGCCTCCCCGCGACGGGGGAAACGAACGGGGACAAAGGGGTGAGCCCGGCGCTGGGCTCCGCGGTGCCCGTCCAGCCCCGGCGGGGCGGTGCGCGGCCGGACCCGCCTCCCCGGCCGGCTCGGGGAGGGGATGGGATGGGCGGCCTCAGCCCGGTGCTACCGGAGCGGGGAGCGCTCAGGTGCCGGCCGGRGGACGGAGGGAAGCAGGAGGGATGGGATGGGARCGGCTGCAGAGGAGGATCGCTGGCYGGGCCTGGGCAGGGGGATGGCKGTGCTGAGGAGCACCGGGGGCCGGGTCAGAACGGCTGCGGTGCTCCCTTGGAGGGCTCCGAACCCCGCTCCGGTGTGGGGGATGCTCCTGGCCTGCAGGGAAGGAGCCGGTTCGGAATGCGGAGGGAAGGTTCTGCGAGTGATTGAGGAGAAATACAGCCGGAGTGCCACAAAGTGCTGAGCTATTGCAGCATCTTCTCTGGATGGGATCTGTGAATGGTTCTGCTGTTTTATTTATTGTGTTTGTATGCTCTCGATGCCGTTGGTGAAGCAGTGTTAATATTCACAGCTTGCTCAGGGTGCTGATTTTTGTATATTCACTGCGTTGGGAGCGATATTTGGGTGACCTTTTGTGTGACAGATGAAGGGTCACGGACACAAAGCTCTGTTTTTTCACTGTCAGATCAGCCTTAGCTTCCCAAACCCTYGCAACATATTTGAGCTTTAGTTTTCTTTTTGTGTAAAGCCGTCTTTATAAATTCGTTGTGGCTATTTTTTCCAGCTTAATACTTCGCTACTGCTGGTGTAGTTCAAGGTTGGAGAAGACACAAGGAGTGTGAGAGAAGCACTGCAGGCTGCTGGTGCTGTTGAGCTGGAAGATTGAGTCTTTGTGTGGAATCCAAGAGAAACAACTGCCAACCACTGCCACGTTTTCATCTGTTGGTAAACATCAGCTGCTGGTTGGCCTTGAGGGAGGAAGACTCAATTAGTTCCAGATGGACAACTCTTTCAGCCCATTTAGGCTTTCCAGTTGATTTAAGCCAGCAGGTCAGTAATTTRGGGGAGTATTTTGTTCTTATTTGCTGTTCTGCTTCCTGCCATGTGTGGAATCGGCGATATCAAATCTGATATCGCAGCGCTGCTGAGGGTGGGGCTTTGTGCTTAATTGGTCTTGGCTTTAATTAAGTTGTTCAAACAGAAAATGTGTCCAAAAAGCTGCCATAATTAACTCTTTTGAATGTAGAGGGGTGTTTTTTAAAAGACCTGAAAAAGGAGGAGGAGTCAAGAATCCATTTTTCTTAACAAATTCTCTTGGAGAATGTCCATCTTTTTTCGAAGTTTTGTGTTAAACTGGGTTACCACAAATACATGGTTTAATGTGACTGTGGTGGTATTGTGCTGCTGGCATTAATTCCTGGAAAAATGGAAAGAGATAAGGGAACAGGGATGGAAATCCTCAGTGCATGGCTGTAATAACTAGAGAATGTGAAGAATGGAAAATTTCTCTGTCAAGTAGCTGCTGTGTCGGAGACTGAGACTGACACGAGATATTCAAACTCACACAGTACCTCTGTGATTTATTTGAGATGCCACATTGGACATTCAAAAAGTACGAAAAATCAAATATTGAAAAAGAAAATAGTGTGAGTTGTTCACTAAACCAGGGCGGGTGAAGTAGCTCTTGTTACAACTCTTGTATTTCTCTTRTCATTGGTTATGAGAGGAGTGAAGATCTCAGGGTGGTTTTGTTGTTCTCTCTTCTCTCCTACTGTAATCTGCCACATTTTGTGTCATTTGTAAAAGAAAAAAAAAGCTTCAGTTGCCAATGATTTGGCAGCCTTTTGCTGCCAAGTCTGGTAAAAAGGCTTTAAGAATCAGTGCAAGTGCCCATATTGAATTGCAAGGTATGGCTGAATGAGGAAGGATTTTATTCACATTAAATCAGTAATTAAATAAGTAATTAAATAGATAACCACTGTGGAAAGCTCTTGGATATGCTTTCCTGTTTTTTTCACCTGGATACATATACCAAGTGAATTAGTGGGAGTTATTGATTGTTGATTGATTACTGATTGCTCTCTTTGACTCAGGTTGATAACAGGTTAATCAGTACTCAGAGTAGAGGCTCCTGCTTGGATTTGCTGCGTTAGGAAGTTTTAAACACAGACTGAGATCAAAGTCACTGCAGAATCTGCAGAAGAGGAGTTAGTTCCAATTGGAAAGGCTGTGTTGAGGTGCTTTAGAGGAGAAAAAACTTAAAAACACATGAAGTCTCTTGTCTGGGATAAATTCTTGGTGCTTAATCTTGATATTAAGATAGGAGGAGCTCAAAATCCAGCCTGAAAAACTACAGAGTGTTTCAAAGCCCTGAAAGATGAGTCTTTATCTTTGATAAAGTGCAGGTGAATTGTGCCATCTTTGCTGCATCAGGGATGTAAAACGTCACATATTTTTCCYTTTTTTTCCCCTYTTAGGCAGAAAACATGGAACAGCCCCCATGAAGAAGCCTGTGGAGTTTATATTGGTGCAAGATGTTCTTTGGAGGACCAAGCAGAGTTTCCCAGGCTGGGAGATGAAGCATTAATCACACAACGACRTCGTCATTTGGAAAGCGTCGCTTTGCACGAAGGACAAATTTTCAATTCCTCACCTCACCATGGCAGCCGTGACCACTGCCCCCACCCCAGAGCCCCCAAATCCTCCCCCTCTGGAGGAGAAGCCCAAAGGGAAATCCCTGTTCCAGCTGGGTTCACTTTTCACTAACAGGAGTGAGAAATTTGTGATCGCTCGCAGTGACAGTTTGCCCGAGGAGAACGTCCTGAAAATCACCATCACTGAGACCACGGTCATCGAGTCTGACCTGGGCATCTGGAATTCCCACGCCCTCATCTACCTCACTTTGTGGTTTTTYTTCAGCTTTTGCACTCTTTTCCTTAACAAATACATTCTTTCCTTGCTGGAGGGGGAGCCCAGCATGCTAGGTACCCTGCTTTTCCTTCCACCTGAATTTCAGGGAGGGATTGTCTGATTTATTTTACTGGAATGGGAGCCCCMAAACCTGCCAGAGCTCCAGAAACATTTGGGCAACGATTCCAAATCATTGTTTTGGGGTCTGTGCAGGGATAAAAATTGGGCTGGATGATCCTTCCAGCTCAGGATATTCCATGATCCTAAAATACCAGATCATCCCATATAAAGCTGAGGGAGGGAATGGTTGAACTGAAGTGAGAAAGACCTGGTTGGAAGGTGTGGGGAGGGATCTTGGGGCTGGGAATTTGGGATTTCGGCCTTTTAAGTGGTTTCTGACACAGTCCATTCCTCCACTCACTGAATGATGAAACTTTGCATGTAGAGGAGCTTTAAGGGAGGAAAAAGCCTGTGATTTTTTTTGGTTTTGTGTTGAAAGGTTTAAAAAAAGCAAAGTTTTGAGTAAGTTGTTGATGGTCTGCAAGACCATCACACTGTCCAGTGCAAAAGTTGCATTTGATGATCCCAATTGTCCAGTGATCATTTTAGTTCTATTTTTTTTTACTTCTTAAGGGGCAAACCAAACAAAGGGCAGTTTATCCATGAACCAGGTATAAACACTTGGTTTATTGTGCTGTCTTGCTGACGGATGCAGAAGTAAAGAGCTTTTGTGAGAAYAAAATATTTCAAATATATTTTTTTACTGTTAATAAAATACGTTATTTATAATTTATAAAATATATAAAATCCAAACAGTGATTTCCAAACTGCACTGAAGTTTGTGTAAGAAATATCCTCACAGTGATGTGTTTTTATATTCTGATCTGATTTTTTTCCACTCTCACCCTYCTTCAGGTGCTGTTCAAATGCTCTCCACCACCTTCATTGGCTGCATCAAAATGTTTGTCCCGTGCTGTCTGTACCAGCACAAAACCCGCATCTCCTACCCCCCCAACTTCATCATGATCATGCTCTTCGTTGGATTAATGAGGTAAATTATCGGGGCTAATTGTTCCTAGGCTAAAATTTGGGGTTTTTTAACAAAAGGTCCATTTTCATGGCTCTCTGCCTTTTCATTCTTGGTGAGAAGCTGTTTGGAGTATTCACCCTTCCCCTCCAGAATCATCCCAGGATAATCTATAAATTAAATATATATATATATATATATATATATATATATATGTTTTTATATTTTAAATATTATATATATATATAATACATATAAAAATAATAATGGGCACTCATTATAAATAATAATGGGCACCCAGATATCAATTTTTTTTGCTTATTTTCTGTCGTTCCTTTTCTCAGATGTCAATTTTTTTGGCTTCCTTACCTTCCCATCAYGTTTACCTTTTTTTTACAGCACTCTTTGCTTTCTTCTGCTCCCTTCTGAGACTGATGTTTGTTCAGTGCTTTAATATTTACCATCCTTTATCTCAGAAGTGATCCAGGCTATTCATATTTATCTTTTAAAACATCAATATTTGCTKGCTGCTGGGATAGTATCACTTTGTGGTCTAGGAGGGAATAAAAATACATAGGTTTGTTTCCTCTACTCTGCAAAACTGATAAGAATAATCCAATAAATAATAAATTAAATTAATTTTGCTGTTTAAATTGTGGYAGTTAGGTGGCATATCTAATGTACACTAAAAATAGATAACTGCAGATCAAATTTCTGTGGTGAATTACTGTTTCTCAGAAGATTTTCGCTTTTCCAGCTGAGCCTGTTGAAAACTTTGGCTTAGAAAAATGCTCTTTTGAACCTTRGAGTATGTTAAAAAACAAACTTTGTGGTCTGGAAATCCACTCTACAGCCAAAGAAATTGCACAATTGCCCAAGGGTGCCTTTATTTGCTTTAAATAAATAAAGTTTTAGCCAAAGCTGAAAAAAAWAGCTCCGACCTTGCAGGTGCAGGAGAAATTACAGTGCAACTCTTGTTATGCTGGGTGTCCACAAGTAGCTCTTAAATAGTTATTTTAATTTCTTCTAGTCCAGTAATTTATCCCTGCAGATTTTATTAATTTCTTTTGATGATTTGCAGATTTGCAACAGTGGTCCTGGGCCTGGTCAGCTTGAAGAACGTGGCGGTTTCGTTTGCAGAAACGGTGAAAAGTTCTGCTCCAATTTTCACTGTCATCATGTCCCGGATGATTTTGGGGGAATACACTGGTGAGTCCTGAAAGGACATTTCATTACTCTCTCTTGATTGATTTTTTTTTAAAGAAATGTATTTTTAAAATATTTATTATATATATTTATCATATTTTTAATGGCCTTTGCCAAAGAAAGCAAAGGCCTTTAAAATATTAATTTAAAACTTTATATATTTTATATATTTATACATATAAATGTATATATATATACATATATATACATATATTCATACATGTCTATTATATGTTTAGTTATATATATATAATATATATGTATGTAATAATATATATGTAATACATAAAATTATACATATGTATTATATATATTATATATATAAATTATACATATGTATTATATCTATAATATGTATAAATGTATAATAAAGGGATAAATAGATATGTATATAAATAAAAATATATATTTAAATATATGTAAGTGTATACAATATATATAAATCTATGATAGAAATATAAATCTAAAAATGCATATAAATATATATATAGATGTATATAAGTATATTTAAATATATATAAATGTATATAATATCTATAAATGTATAATAAAGATATAAATATATAAGCATACTACAAATGTATTTATAAATATTTAAAGGTAATTCATAGAAATAAATAAGAAAGAAATATAAATACAAGAATCAGAATATAGATATTAAAATAGATTTATAAATATGGAAATAGAATAAACACAGCTGGAAGAATCAGTCTGAAAACAATGAGTATACAGGATTAAAAAGGGTTTGGGGTAAGGGGATTGTTGTTATTTTTCTGTCAACAAAATATTACTGTGCCTTTGAATCATTGAAGTTCAGTGTGGTCCTGTTTTGCTGTTCAGTACTGAAATTCTTTCAAAGCCCCAGTGCTGGGTGCAGTGGTTGCAATGGAATTGTCCCTTTGCAGGGCTGTTGGTGAATCTGTCCCTGATCCCCGTGATGGGAGGGCTGGCRCTGTGCACGGCCACCGAGATCAGCTTCAACATCCTGGGCTTCTCTGCAGCACTGTCCACCAACATCATGGACTGGTGAGGCCCTGAGGCTCAACAAACACATTGTTTATTTCTGTTTGTAAATTACAAGCTATTCATCTATATATTAAAATTATATCTTTATTTTATATCTCAATTCAATATAAATTAACTGATATTTTATTTATTCTTTATATTTTTTACATACATATCTGTATTCTTTTATATATTCTTTAAGAAATAACAATATTTTGTTTTATTTCTTAAAGAATATTATAAATAAATTTATTATTATTAAGAATTATAATAAATAATACTATTATTATGATAGTATCCTATTATAATGAATTACTATTTCTTACAATTATTTATATATGAATATAATATTTAGTATATTTACATAATATAATTATTTATTATAACAATGATTGTATTTATTATAAATGATAATTTAATACACTTTATTATTGTTATAATAAACCTTTATTATATTATATAATTATATTTATAATTCCACTGGTAGATGGAAGAAAATAGTTTCATATGGTTTCAATTCTGCACAATGCACTTAAAAGTTGGTATTGAAAAAGCATTTTTAACAAATTATTTATTTTTTCCCTCATATCTAAGGACATAATTGAGATGAAATAATAAAACTTCATTAGACCAAACTCTTTTCTATACTTGTAGAAAATCTGTTTACCCATCTGAGAGAAACAGGATTGATTGATTTGTCCTAATTAAAATACAGCTTTTATTTTTTATTTTTTAATTCTTCTTTTCCAGTTTGCAAAACGTCTTTTCCAAAAAACTTCTCAGTGGAGACAAATACAGATTTTCGTAAGTATTCTGATTATTTCAGGTTTGGTTTTATTGGGAATATATAAGGAAATAATGCAAGGAAATCAAATATTTATCATTTTATTGCACCAGAAAGTGTAAATTTGATCACGTCAATCATTTTATCACAGAAAGAAAACTCCTGAGCTCCCACCTCAGTTTCAGAATCAGCTCCAGCTCCCAGCAAACCCCAAAAAAATAACATTTTCACAGAAATCACTCCTTATTCTGCCATCAGCACCCACCYTTCACATTGCTGGGTGTGCACAAAACAACTTTTTAACCATAAAATTTAAACCAGGAGTGAATTCTTGAGCTAAAAACCACCTTTAACAATATTTGTGGSTTTTACCCTGAAATAAAAACCTACTTTTGGTCTTTTGTACCTTTTAACTTCAGTCCCTGAAAGCAAACCAGTCTTTGCTTTGAGAGAGGAAACTTCTAATATTTCTTTAATAATTTAATAATTCCTAATTTCTTCTCCTTTCTAGAGCCCCAGARCTTCAATTCTACACAAGTGCTGCTGCTGTGGTAATGCTTATTCCAGCCTGGATATTCTTCATGGTAATTTGAATTCTATCATTTGTTTAGATTATTTTTTATTTAATTGTGAGCAGAATATGCAATGAAGGTTAATATTAAATTTCACCTTTCATCCTTCCTGTTTTTTTTTAAATCAGACTAAAATACAATTCATCCTTTTGCAAGAGATTGTGGSARTAAAAAAGAGAAAATTGTRAAAGAAATAATTTAATATAGACAGGAGTTAATCCAAAACCCCTGAGTTCATCTCAGGATTTTCAAGCCAAATGATAATTTTGTC